TCAGTACTCCGACACAGTTGGGTGATGATCTACATCGCCATTATAGCCTGACATTAAAGGGAATTAAAAATTTACGTTTGATTTATTGCAGGCTCAGGTGCAGCTTGCATGATTTGAGCGCCCTCTTGTGGCACTCTGCATTTATTTTTTTCTCTTTAGATTTGTTTTTGATGCACAGATATAACTGCATCATTTTACTCATGCCACTCATTTTATGTAGTATTTTTAATGGCCGACTGCTGGGGAATGCTCCAACCCTCTCCGCGAGATCGTTTTAGGCCTAAAATGAGCAAAAACTGTATCTGAGAGGTTAAAGAGTAAGGACGAGAGAGTACAAAATGTGAGGAAGTGTTCAGCAGATTTTAGTGTTGGTAGCAGGACACTGCAGCTACTCTGAAGGCCAAAGGAAAAAGACTCAATCCAGTAAAATGTCAGTTTTCCTCCTCCTTAAAGGTCAACTGTCTGAATGCAGCACAGATGTTGATCCTTTTAAAATTTAATGCCGACTACAAGTCGCACTGTGATACGGAGCTACTTAACTTTGACATCCAGTTTGGTCTACAATATGCAGACCAGGGGTGGGTGACTCCAGACCTCAAGGGCCGGTGTCCTGCAGGTTTCAGATATCACCCTGGGTCAACACCCTGAATCAAATGTTTAGTTCATTACCAGGCCTCTGGAGAACTTCAAAACATGTTGAGAAGGTCATTTAGCCATTTAAATCAATTGTGTTGGATAAAGGACACATCTAAAACCTAGAGGACACTGGCCCTCGAGGCCTGGAGTTCCCCCACGCCTGATGTAGACTGTATTGTACTCAACTGGAGTCTGCAATGCGTCCGTTCATTTCCTCTGATATTTCCTTGCATGTCCCCTTCAATGCTGCTATAACACAGTTATTGTCTGCATATTGACCTCCAATGATATTGGAGGTGACTGAGCGCTATTCATGAAATGACATTTTCCTGTAGTTGCAGAAAGAAGTGCGTTGCTATTAGTGCGTTCTTGATTGAAGACTTTACAGATGTCTGAGTTTGCCAAAAGGATTTGAAACAGCTCACACTGTGTAAACACTGCCCCCTGCTGGCAGCTGTGCTCTGAACTCAAACAGTTCATTGTCTCTTATTACTAGGGATGGGTTAAACCGGTACTTTTGAAATGGTGCCAGTGCTTAAAGAATGGAGAACACAAACTTTGTCCAAAAACCTCTTATGTTTTTATTTTTAGCAGTCTTTTTTTTATGGTGACTCCACCATTGAAAATGGATGGAGATCTTTGACTATAAATTTTGTCTATGAATTTCGTCCACTTTTTCTTTGGTCATTTTAGCCTTTGTGGCCAGGGTGAAGGGAGTATCTCCCATCAAACAAGAAGACAGCCGCATGTAACTACGACGGTGTTTGCTAGTTCACCTTACGTGCATTAATTTAATAACGTGGTTAGCCTACTCAACGTAAATGACACACGAACAACATTAAGCTACTCACGCAGAGAAGAACGGCTGCTGCTGCCATCATCATCCTCATCATTTCTGCTACACTGGCAGGGCTAGGGGCCAGGACTCTCCTCTTCGGGTTTTTGGGGATGTTGCTAACTCTGCGTCCGATAACAGGCACCACACCCGCAGTACATGTGCACGGTGTGAGGTCTCGCAGCAAGCTATCAAATACAGCGCATTTCTCGGCTTTTAAATAAAAAACGCTATACATCGCCAGGTGTTTCATCAGATTCGAGGTGTTACCTCCTTTGCACAGTATCACCTTAAAGCACTTGTTGCAGGCTGCTGAGTTTGCATCTTTTGCTGTGAAGTACAGCCAGACTTTTGACCGCTTTGCCTTGGGCGTTTTTAATCTGTAGCTCTGCTCTAAAAGAACGTACGTAGTGGGCCCGCCTACTGTCCTTGGAAAGGTAAAATGATTGGCTAGAATCCAAAGTGTATGACATCTCAGGAGAAAAAAAAAAGCACCAAAAAAAAAGCACCGAAATGTGCGCTGCTTTTCGGTCTGGTTACTACCGTTTATGTCAGAACCGATGCCATAATGGCACCGGATACCGGTACCCATCCCTACTTATTACTGTGTGAATTTGAGTATCCTCAAATCTGGTTCCCCTGTCCTCAGTAATATCCAGTACAGCTTGCTGTCTAACGGTGTCTGACTGGCTTTGTATGATCTCAGTCTCCTCCCAGTAAGAAGTGTAAACTGGAGAAGGCCCGGAAGCCGCTGTCGTTCACAATGCCGGAGGCGGGACTGAAGGAGCTCCAAGCCAAGGCCTCGGCTTTAGGCTGCACGTGCCGCAGCCCTGTGGACAGCCTCACCGTTCTGGTCGAGAAGACGCTCAGTGAGCTGCGGGTGAGCTTCACTACTGAACATTGTTTTATGTATAATAGATTTCACTGAAGTTTTGACTGCACTGGCCAACTGTCTCACGTGTGCGGCTCTGCAGGTGCTGCACAAACGTGTGCCTTGCAAAAAGGAGGAGCAGAGCCTCTTTCTGACAGCTGTGGAGAACACCTGGATCCACGGGCGTCAGAAGAGACGTGAACAGACACGTCAGCTGCGAGAGCTGCCCAGGGCGCCACACTGTGCCGGAACCACTTCACAAACCACCGTGACCGCAGGTGCTCCAGAAACATGCCCGACCTCCCAAAACCAACTGACCACCGCAGAAAACAGCAGCAGCCAGAACGAGAACGCTGAGAGCAAAAGCACGCCTGCAGACAAGCCGGGTAAAGAAGTCACAGAGAGCATGACTGGGGAACAAAAAGAGGCCCCAGAAAAAGTAACAGGCGAGGATGTGGACATGGAGTCCTCTACCTGCACAGGAACGGGGCAGGGAGCAGACCTGAAGGAAACACCTGCTGCAGCGAGCGAGCCGCCCTCGAAACAACCCGTGAGCCCCAGCACTGTCAAACACTTCTTGTTTAAGTGTCTGCTGAACGTGATCCAGGAGCAGAGTGACGTAGTGATCGAGATGCACTGGGTGGAGGGTCTGAACAGAGACCTGATGAACCAGCTGTGCACTTACCTGAAGAACACACTTTTAAAGACTGTCGCAAAGTCCTGATCAGCAAGTCGAGATCTTTTCTTCTCAAAAATTAAAAGCTTTATTTTTTAGACATGATTAATGTTAGGCTGTGTGTTGGGAAGTTTATTTTGTATAGCTTCTGAAAGGCAATTCTGTATTGGCTGTTTCTTTTAATTCACTTTTAAGATTTTGTATTCTAGAGGCAAAAGTCTCCTTTCCCCCCGCTGAAAAACACAAGCTTGTAAAAAAAAAAATCCAAATCACCTGTTTTAATTAAAATACTTATTAATATACTATACTTCATGTCAACCGTACAACAAACAAACCATCATACATAACAAGAATCTCTATCGCAACAAAAGTAAGGAGACACCACCTTGTAGCGCTAGTCACCAATTGAGCTTTACAAGTTAATTTTATTGAGCTGGAATCTTCAGGGAAATTACTCCGAACACTCCAACCAATGATTCATTTGGCCTTGCCAATAGCTGATATACTCATGGAATCACCCAACACTGCATATTGTGTTATAAATTGCAAAAATATTTGGAATAAATTTACATTTTTATACAGATTTTTTTCCCTTTCCCATTTTTACTGAATTGTCTTTAATTATGTAGTACCTGTAAATATCCACAAGAGGGCAGCGTCAGCTTGACCTGTGTGTTATGATCCGTTGTACTCGTTGATCTTTAATTGTTCCTTTGTTAGAGATTGTATTTTAGACTCACTGTCGCTCCAGTCTGGCACAACTGTTTTAAATAGACCCACAGCCCGTGTAATTCAGGAAGTTCCTGGAGCCCCTCGGTCTTTCCTGGAGAGCCTTTGGTATTATTACTCTGCTGTACCCGGCTGACTTCCTCAACAGCATCGAGTGAATAACAGGAAAACATTCCCAAAATATGCAGGGCCACGTATACGTATGTGCACATTTTCTGTTGTCATAAGCAGAAACGCGGTTCCTGCTCGTACGACGTGTCCTGCGGTCACGGCCGGACTTTGACTCCGGCGATGCATGAGTCATGTGATATCTGCTGAATAAAGGGCAACAACATTAGAAGCTGGCATTTTTGTTCTTTTGTTTTTGGTCCGCTGATACAACATCTTTAAAGATTTTTAATATGCTTAAAAAAACTTCCAGTAACTCTCTCACTGTTATTTATGTTGCTGTCATAAAGATGACGTTTCCTTTTTCTGCAAACCTTGAAGGCTTAGAAATCAGTCTGGATATTGGTGGTGTGCCTGGAGTTATTACCCTAATAAATCAAAAAGACCTGAAGTGACTAGCTAATCATTTCGAACACTAGTTATTTATAAGTCCAGCATTTAATTTGCTGCCTCCAGCCACTAAAATAGTTTAATTTATTGCTTTTTCTTTCCCTCTTTACTATAAAAAAGCCCATTTGGGTGGACAAAATCACCATAGAGTTAGAGGGAAGTGTATTGTCATTTAATCCTTATTCTGACATAATAGCAGTCAATGATGAAAGTGAAACTGAGCTGTGGCCTTACATTAAGCCAAAATGTGCTGTTTCGCTATGGTTTTATTGTTTAACAACTACAGATATGGCTTCAGTAATAACACTGATTAGTGCAGGGATGACAAGCTCTTTTTATAGCCATATCTTTAGTGGGACGGACCAGTGAAACTGCCCTTCAGTGTCAACTAGTTTAATCCTTGAGATATCCTAATTTAAAAAACCGAGTCAAGTTTCAACAGTATTTCTAAGTTTTTCCCGCATGATAAAGAAACCTTGCAACAAGAGTCTTTGGGCTTAAATTTTATGTGTAAACAAATGTGTAAAATTCTGGTAACATCACAAAAATGTCCAGTGAACCCACTATAAAAAACAACAAAACAACATATATTTCTATAGTGAAAAAAGCGGGAGGTTTTCTGCCACTTGATTATTTATCTACTACTTAATTACTTTAGTGTAGTATGAATCACCATGGGGAAGCTGTGAAACATGTAAATGCAGTAAAAAGTCCAAAATGTATGCCCTCCTTCATGACCAGTGGGCCAAACTTGAGTTGTTGGCAGTCTGATTGTGACCCCTGAGCCTTATGTTTGACAGGGGTTAAAGAGTGGAAGTAATCTTCAGATGTAGGAACCAATCATAGTATAGAAACACTTACACATGAACAGAAATGTAAAAGTAAAATAAGACATTATACAGACAGACAGGATTATATTATTTATGTACACAGAGGTGTTATGATGCAACTGTTGGAACTAGCACTTGCAGTTATTAGATGCAGGGCTCAGTCTACCCCGTGACTGCTTGTTTTTTTGCTTGGTTTTTACTTTTAAAGTGCCCGTACGCCTGATGCACGCTCGTAAACTCCCAGCATGTGACCCTGACGTGCCAAACAAAGCACGCTGACTGTTCTCCGCGCTGATTGGCTGGTGGACACAGCGCCAATAAGATGTAAATTTACCGCAGTCAAGCAAAGTGTCGACCTTTCGTTTACACAGAACAACTACGCGGTGACAACTTGTAGTCATCGGTTAGTCAAACATCAAGCCGCGAGAGGGCGGCACGTGAGACACTTAACAGAACAAGCCGCCGTTATAAGCGGCAACATTTTTGATAAATTTTCTGCGTGTGGCGGACGTGACTCGTGAAGAGAGCTCCACGAGACCGAAATCACCCGAACCCCGCTCCGTGTTTTCCCGTCGCTTCCCTCGTATGCACGCGGTGAGGGAGGGCGTTTGTCTGTGGGCGGTTACAAACGCTGCGTGATTCACAAACCTTATTTGTTCGTACTACTTTGAGCGCCATCTTGTTTGTAACTCTTCTACGTAAGTGGTAGAGTTTCTACTGAGGGGGGTATCGGATTACCCTCTTTTTTTTCTCCTTCCTCCCCCCTACCCCACCCTCAGCTTCAGACCGGGAACCTCTCCCTGTGGCAGGCTATACGCACAGGCGCGTCTGCTTTACAGCCTTTTCTCCGAAAAAAAGTATTTTCAAGCGGACAGAAATGAGCATCGAAACGCTTCTGGAAGCGGCCAAGTTTTTGGAATTTCAAGCCCAGCAACAACAGAAAGCACGTGGTAAGTTTGTCTTTTATTGGGGGAAAAAAGATAAAATAAATAAAAGCTCGCTCGTTTTTCACACTCTGACAGTCAGGAGTGGGAACCAGTCCACCCATTCAGTGAAAGGTTTAGTCTCCGAGGTAAGAGGAAACCCTGCCTGTGGCTCATTTACCAGCACAGTGTCTGAACTGATTCCGTTTGTCACGTATGCATTTAAAGACCGTTTCAGTCTTCCTAGTTTTACTTTCATTCCGGTTTTAGAGTGGCTGCTGTGGATCTGCTCTCTTCATGTCAAGATTGAGGTCAGGTCTCAGACAGGCAGACAGAGACGGGCTTCTGCTGCAGTGTCAGGGGTTACTGCATCGAAACCTGCTGCATAGACACTTAACGTGCTGCTCGGCCGCGTCACCGCGCGCCTTCCTGTATTTCTGAGTATCTGCACGCGCTGCTGCGGAACATTAAAAATAAAAACAAAACACGGTCCGATGAAGGGCGGTGGCGCGCGGAGTGCTAGGCTCGTTTTACATAATGACCTGACATCGTCCGCTGGGGATCAAGTGACTCTGGCATTCAGGTTCCCCCTCCTCTTCCCTCCCACCCCAGCAGTCTGCGCCCCTCAGTCCCTCCGCGCGCCTTCCGGATATCAGGTGTTGTAGTGACTCTGCGTACCTGTGTGTTTCGGTGTTACTGTCGATTCTTAATACATAAAAAAGCAAAATCACAAACTCCCCTGGCTCTCCAGACTCTCGTGGAGGGCTTTGAGCGCAGTCGATGACGTGAACAACAAACCACGCCCCTGTAGTTTAAAAAGCATAGATGGTTACGCCCCTTCCACCACGTGCGTGCCGGGCAACCCCTCCCAAAGATCGTTTATAAAGCAGATGGCTCACTCCGGTATTCCATCCGTGTAAACTACATCCGGAGAGAATTAACAAGCGTTACGTTTTTATATTTACAACTTCATTTAGCTCTGGAGTCAACAAACTTAATGTGAGATTACTATTCAGGTTTCTTGTGATGTCATGCTGCACATCGCTTAATGACTGAATTATGCGTCAGTGAGAAATCTACTGCATAACTTACTACGTAACCAGAAACTCCTCTAAACCCTACGCCGTAACCTGACGTGCACTTCCTGAGAAATGTGACGACATATAGGGTCAACGCACCCTGCAACAACTCAAGTGGCGTGGGAGGTTGGGATGTAGGGTCGAACAGTGTTACGTTGTTACGACGTAAATTTCCTGCAGTAGTCTAAATCACGTGTAACTGTCCATCGTATTGGATGTGATATAACCACTGGTTGCTAAGGCAAGCCATATATTCCCTGACAGGTTGGCAGTGGCTAAAGGAGGCTCAGTTCCAAAGGTGGTGAAAACCTAGTAGAAATTGCTTCAGGTGCAGGAAATCACTTGGAATCACTGACCAGTTCGTGACCCTTTGTGACTGGGGCTCTTTTAAAAAATAATTTTCCTCTGGACCAGTGGTTGACAGATGGTCACACTGGTCTCTAGCCTTATGTGTCTGTGGCCTTATTTACTTGACTGTCACCATGATTGTCACACATCCAAATGGCAGACGAGTTAATGTCACATGTCTGCAACTCTTTACATGCAGTTACACTCCAATAAATCAATGTATGTTGCATGGATCGCTATAGCTGTCAACATATTGTGTTTGCACTGCATATTAAAAGGAAACAAACCTATCAGAGTTGTTTACGTTTGCATAGCTGTGAGGTGTAGTTACAGTTTGGGGAAGGTGCAGGTTGAGCTACCTCAGACAGCCCTAACGCTAACATCAGACCTGCTGAAAAAGTGCATTACACTTCCTGCGCCGTTTAAACTTGGCTGCCAACAGATCAGCCCTTTGGTTGAATGCTGATTTTTACATATTCTGTAGCTCTTTACATATTCGTGAATGAAAAGTAGCCTTTTGGCTAATTCTGGCATATTTACATTGATATGTTCATGAATAGTTAAATTCATCATTACGGAGAGAGTCCACGCAGGCTCGGAGTGAGAGGTCCTGTTTTTTTTCCTGTCTCAGCTGCTCCTGCCTGGTGCATTCTAAGCAGGCGCCTTCTCCTCCTCCTCCCTCTCTGCTACTGTAGAGCAGGTCACTGTGTGCAGGAAACTAGGCCAGTGTTCCTCTATGTACTGCTGCAGTTATATAATGCATATAGAAAACCTGCTTGTTTTTTATAAGTGTTTCATGGGTTTTCTTTCAGAAAAGACCCCTCTGTGTTTATGTCAACAAAACAACATTAAATTGTCAGAACTCATAACTGTGCATGCAACAGCTTATGAAAGCTGTCCACTGCAACTGGAACATCTTGTTCTTTCGTATGTTTTTACCGCTGAAGAAAAGACTTTTCAGTGTAACAGGACATGTTCATACACTGGAAAAAAATACACTGAAATGCTTAAAGTAACACTGTTAAAATTTCTCTAGAGCTTTTTAGAGCTGGATAGAATATCTCCTTCCTCCATCACATTTTTTTTTTTTTACAGTCACAGTCATTGATAAAGTGACATTAGTGTTTTAAAATGTAAAATCATAACACTATGTGCTGCTTTTTCGTAGATCTAAATAGACTACCAGATCTGTGAAAGATCTGTTTTAAAGCGGGGCTATAATGTTCTGAACTTTGAACCCTCAAAATGTGAGCATGTATATTTTAAACTGATTATACATGCATAACAAGTAGTATCTGTCACATTATTATTTATTTATTTTATTTTAAACAAACAAAAGTTGAAGTTAATTTAAAGACTGACCGATAAAAGGTTGTGATTTTGAGAAATATTAGAGAAACCTGCTCTTAATCCTAACTGATTAAACAAGCTGACCTCATACGTCATGCTCTGGTGCCAGGCGGTTAGATCCATTAATTCCTGCTTTTATCAATGTTGGTGTTTTAGAGATGTGTTCATTCAGCTTCATATAGTCTTTGATATTAACAGGTGAGAATATTCCTAGTATTTTGTACACCCTATTTGAAGGCGAGCTTACATTATGATGCAACAAACTACATTATCTAAACCCGGATTATTTTTTTTGTCGCTTCATACAATCTTATTGTGCGTAGCTATGTAGAATTTTACATACAATGTAGCTCTTGTATGTAAATGTATAATAAAAACAGACTGTAAACTTGTAAATCATTGAAACCCCCCTTTTGTGTATTTAAAAGGTACAAAGACAACATTTCATATTTTGAAACTTAAGAAATGTTACTGTTTTTTTTTTTTTTGTCTTTAGTGGGAAGGTTTCAGTGACTTTTTTGGATGTTGTGTATCTAATAAACATTTGTTATTTTATTTTTTAGAGTGACTTAGCACCTAATTTCTTGGAGACAGCTGTGTTGTTGTCGCTCACTGTCGTCATCATTTATGTGAACTTGTTTTCAGTGGTTTGGGGTGAAGTCTGTGGTGCCGCTGTAGCTTCAGCTCTGCAGTGAACGGATGAGTGTGTACTGCTGCAGCGTCCTGATCGCATTTATAACGATGTTGATGACAGCTACTTGTATCTGACATTTTCTAACTGTGAACATGAGCTGCCATAGCAACTAGAGTCCCTTTCCACAGCATCTATACAGTGTGGAGGGGGTGTGCTTTAGATGACTGGACAGCCCCATAAGACGCATTTAGACTGACTCATGTTTTACAAAAATACTGAAGCTGATCACTTTTCAGTTAGATTTATCTGTATGAATCTTTCACATGGCTGTAATCACAGTTTATTTAATAGTAATCAAAACGTGCAATCATTTTAAAGCTGGCTCAATGAGATCTGCAGTGTATTAACTGTTATAAACATGCCTTTACAGATAAACCTAACCTGGACATGCGTCTTGGTAGTAAAGAGACCCTCGGGCTTTGTTAGTACTACTTTCACTCACTTCCCCAGCACAACTCAGTCAGTGGACTGTGACCAGGATTACATTACAGCGAGATGTACCTCCATTAAAGCAACAAGCTTCTTTTGTGAAGACATGCTCAAAGCTAGGCAAAATTTTTGTGGATGTGAAAATGCATGTACAGATAAAACACAAAGTAGGAACAGCAAGAGAGAAGAGCCTGAAAGCTCAGACTTTCATTTCTGCTTGTTGTAATTACATAACAACAAAGATTCTCCTGTAGAGCCACTTTGACTTACAACTGGATGTTTCAATAATATTAACAATAATACTTCATCACTTTACGTGTAACAGGCGTCACAGTTATGGAATATGTTTGTGCTCTTTCTGTTGTGGCACAGATGAAATGAAACCTGCTGCTGTCATGGTTTTACACAAGTTTTAGGTTTAGTTAAAAAAAACATCTGTTGGTGTCATGTGCAAATATACCTGCAGCTTTGAGTGTCAAACACTTCTTGTTTCGCTGATTTACTATAATTAAGATGAGCAGGACTAATGTCACTGAGCTGGTACAGCATAACATGCCAAACAAGGCCTTCTACCAGACCTTTCTAGAAATGACCCTGGCTTATTTCCTTTCACATACTCCCAAAATCTATCAGTACTGTTAGTGCTAACAGATTTAGAAAGCTCAAAGGGTTGTTGCTGCATTTTTGTGTATGTGTATAGATGGGATTGGTTGTATTAACGGCTGTGTTTTTCCCACAGAGGATGAAAAGGAGAAGCTGCGTCTGCAGCACCTGAAAGAGCAGAGCCACCCTAATGTGAACTCCACAATCCACATCAACAATGTTTCTAAAGCAGAGGAGCGCCACATGGAGTCCCGTCCCCCACCCATACCATCAGCTCTGTCCCCTCCCTCTGTCCCCATTACAGTCATCCCGATACCTGTGGTCACCCCCAACCTTACAGGCTCACCTACTCTACCTGTTACCACGCTCTCCCCTCCTGCTGCTCCTCCACTGGCCTCCCCAAAGACAGACTCTCATCCCCCTCTGGAGCAAAGTGCAGCAGCTCTACTCTGGTCTCCACAGCCCAAACCTGACACCCAAACCATGGTGACTGCCAACCACAAGCAGCCGATACAAAACCACCACCTTCAGCCGCAGCTCGTCACCCAAACCAACAACACTAAACTACACCAGCAGCTGGTTCAGCGCTATCCGGGTACCATCGTCTCGCCCATACAGCAGCAAGCCTTACTGCCCCATTCAGGCCCCTTGCTTCAGCAGGCCCCTCTGCACAATGGCCCCGTCAGCCGGGGAAGTCCTCCTGATGACAGTCGCCACCTAGACAGCAAGAAGAGGCCTGGAGGGTAAGTCTGACCTTTTAACTCAGTATTGTTTTACTGAGGATCAATTTAAATCAGTCCTTAAAATGCAGAAAAAATAATAACTAGGAGTCCAGATTACAGACGTACTGAAACGGTGTCATCAGTAATCTTCTGTGGTCCACTCAGATAATTATAAGATTAGATTCCACTTTGCACGGTTGCTATTACGATAATTTGGATGAGATGATAAATTCACTCACTTACTGTCATTGATCTGTCTGCTCCCAAAACTAAGAAACAGGTTCTTTGATTCATTTTTTGGGGGGTTAATTTTTTTATTATTTCAATTTTGTTGCCCTTTTAAACATCACCATTTTACTGTGCTCTTGCAGGGCTGGTACAAGAGAGGTGCATAACAAACTTGAGAAAAACAGGTAGGGTCACCCCTTTCCCCAAAAGCATTTGCCAATAGATTCTTTTTTTTTCCCTGAAAACTTTACTTATTGGTAGCGCTTCAATTTTGAAATGTGCTTCATATTTTAATCAGAGGACTCCCAAATAGAGATGTTGTTATATTAAAGTGAGCTTTACCACATGCGCTGTCTAAAGTACCTTCTATTTGTCTTGGGTCTGTCAGACGAGCACACCTGAAGGAGTGCTTCGAGACGCTGAAAAAGAACATCCCGAACATTGATGAGAAGAAAACCTCCAACCTGAGTGTCTTAAGAAGTGCACTGAGATACATTCAGGTGAGCTTGTGATGTCTCCAAAGTTCAAAGTTTTATTACCTTCAAATTCCACGTTGGCGTATCTGGTATTGGTAATCATTAGTATCCGATTGGTGTTGGTAGATTTTAAAATCTTCTTGAATTTCATTAGTTAGATTTTCATTGGCTGTTTTGTTACTCAATGTTAATATTTATTTTACCCTTTTCTGTACAGTGTGTTGTGACCACCTGTCTGTGAAAAGCACTTATTAAATAAACTCTCTTATTATATTGTTTTAACAGCTAGATAAATACAACCACAAACCAAAAAAATTAAATCACAATTACAGAAATTACAGATTTAAAAACCAGCAATCGAAGCGCCACCAGTAACAAGTGGCCTGAACCTCCTATCACCTGTTTTTGTTTAGCAATGTTTCACTGGAATGCACAAAACATCCACAAAGGCGATGCCTTGTACTTTATTCCCCATGAATGCAACTCGTATAGGGAGGCTGTAACACGTCACTGATGATTGCTCGCTCTTTCCTCACTGCTAACAAAGCTGTTACACTGTGGTGTTATTGACCCCCAGTCTTACTGGATACATTTACAATCTTACTGCATTTAAGATCCTTCGTTGCAGAGAAAAACATCAGACAGCAGCAAGTTTAAACACAGTGATGTATTTAGATCCTTCCTGAGTCTCTAAGACTTCCTCATTTATACCTTTTTTTCTTAAGTGTGCGAGTGTTTCAATGAGTGACTCGCCATTTCTATGAGTCAAGCTCTCCCGGTTAGAGTATGCTGGTTGTAAACAGCTGGCGCAAAGGTCTGCCACTGGTCTAGTGTAACTTTCAGACTGACTGTGCTGCTGAGTGTGTCCGTTTTTATTGTAGGTCATTTTTCTAATACACTAATCCAGGAGGCGATAAAACAATATTTCTGTTGCGTTGCTTTTATAGATTTGCGTTTTACAATTACAGTTGTGTGTTTGAGTGTGCCCAAATGTGGTTAGCGGTTTGCTGTTTAATTTGCATAATAATAAAACACTTACACGGTTTTAGACATTTGGTTGTCATGCGTTGTTGTTTATGAGCCTGCAGTTGTTCATTAACCGACCGTGGTGCAGGTTTACTGATGTGTACACCGAGGAGGACGGCATGCTGCTGCTTGACTGAGATGCAGCAGGCTGGTTATTCCTCTGTGCGCGTGGATGCTGAGGGAAACTAGGACAGCGTGGGTGCACAGCTCGTCACCCAGTCTCCCTCCCTGTGCCCCTCTCTGTGATTAAGCAACATGCTGTGCGTGTTGTGTTCGACAGGCTTGTGCGTCTTTTCCTCCAATCAGCAGCTAAGCTGGACATGCTTGACACAAACAGAGCAAGGGAAACTTACATAATTGATGATGCTTATATGTGGAAGTGAAGAGTATAATAAAGAGTAGTACGAAGCAGTTAACCCAGTACTGGAATAGTGTTACAGGCCACAACAGTGTGTCGTGCCTCTTTGTCACGAGGGTCTTTTTCATTGGCCAGGCTGGTGGTGTTTTGTTTTGGAGGGGTGGAGTAAAAGATGTGAGTGCTGGGTGATAGGATGCCTAAAAAAAACACACAAAAAAAAAGGCAGAACACGTGCGAGCACTGGCATCTTGACATGGGAGGTACAGACGCGTGTCCTGCCTGCATGCACCTCATTCCCGAAACTCTGCACACTCCTCCCTCCCCGTCCCTGTCCTTGTCCTCCTCTGGGCTGGCAGCAATGAAGCAGCCTGCACAGAAAAACACTGAGCTTAGAGGTCTGAATAAGAGGCTTTCAGCTCAGCACTCTGCCGCTTTTATTTTTACATCTTATTGTAAGTTTGTAAATGAGCAAAGTTTCTATGAAAATAAGTGGTAACTGGAACAGTTTTAGTGGTTTTCCAGTGAAAGGCGCAAACTTGGCTAACAGCTACATAGGTCAACTTCCACTTCCTTATTACATTTCAAATGAAGATGACTCAACATCTGTGACCAGAAAATCTTACATGTGAACCAATTGTTTTCCTTTTTAATGATAGCAGTCGCGCTAATAGAGCTGTAAGAGGGTTTTTTGCTTTACTTTAGAGACAACATGTAGCAGGCTTTCCTCTGAGCCCGTAGTGGTGTCGCGAAAGCCGAGGCTGTAAAATAAGCCCTGATGCATTAGCGCTCCTCCTCTCCACTCCCCCTCCTTCCCTCCAGCCTGCCTCTCTGAGCTTTTAAGGCCACATGAGCAGCAAGCACATGGCTAGCCTGAGCCGCGTGACGTCACCCCCCCTGTGCTGGGCCCCCACCCAGCACTGCAACATGCAGGACTTGCTGTACCACCAGGCTTAGCCGCCCGCAGCAGGGAGGGAGCATGGAGCAGTAAACATAAGGCTCAGCTTACTCCACACGCGCTTCACTTCCTCATGAAAGCTGACTGAACTTGTTCCTCCACTGCTTGTCCGCAAATGCCAGCATGAAAAGTGCTGTACTCTCTGCTAGATGAAGATAAGCTAAAAATTTATTTATCTTTTGATATTTTTAGCATAGTCACTGTGGACTTCATGGCATATTTCCTTTGAAAGGTTGCCTGACAAGATAACTGTACTAGTTCTTTTGACATTTTCATTTTTGTTCATCCTTAACATTAAAAAAAGCTGGCCTCCTTCAGCTTTCTGACGACTCGGCTCTTAACCGCAATGAGGCAAATAGGCCAGCTATGACCAACACAAGCTTACACACAAAGGATTGGTGTGCAAAAGTAGGCATTTTATTTCCACAGACAGACTTTTTATTGTTAAAGTCGGGCACCACGTGAAACCCTCTGCTCCAGCTTGAAGGCAGACTAAGACAAGGGTTTATGGTTACCACAGTGTCATAAGACCTGTGTGCAGGAACCCGATCAGTGGAGCAGCATGTCTGCAACGTGGCCTCCTGTGCTCCTGGCCCTTTAAGACAACCCAGCCTTGTGCTGTCTGTTCACGGCTGCTGCAAAAGTGAGTCAGTGAGTACAGCTTGTATTGCTCTCTTTCAATCCCCTGTTATCTGTGGCCCTCCCTCTCCCTTTTTCTGCAGGGCCATGTGCTCGGCCCTCGCATTGCTTGTGACAATAATGCTTCAGCAGTGTTTACCTCCCATGCGCACGCACACACATGCACGCACACACAGTTCTGTGGTAAGAACTCTTCCCTGGAAAAAAGAAGGAGGTCTGAATGCAGTCATGTGCAAAGAATCCAAGCATACCTGGCACATTGTGTCCTACCAATCTGGTGACATGTTTAACATGGTGATGAAGTCACGTGGGGCCCATCTGCTGCTGGCTTGTTTATCAGGTGTATGCGGTTAATCTCAGGCTAGCTGTGTCTAAAAAGGCGAATGTGGCGTTGGCTCTCAGCAGTTCAGTGGGTCTCTGTGTCTGTGGAGCATTTCTCCACTCTCTCATTCTCTCTTTATGAGTCATCACTTAAAGCTGTAAGCTTGTAGCGCTACTCGCGTAAGGCTGTCAGCTACATGAGGGTAAAAGAGAAGGCGGCCAGACCTTTTTGGACATCACGTTAAATTTTCCTCACCAGAGTAGGTTTTGACAGAAATGTTTACACACTAAGAGGCTGTTAGAAACCTAAATCGCACCTCTTGCACATGAAGGTGTGTGCCATCTTTTAGGATTTCAGAGAAAACGTTGACATTTTTTCAGGAGTTTCCCTGACAACCAGAGATGGGGGGCATTTTAGCACATCTTGTGTAGAGACGAAGGATGTTTTTAATCCGTACGGAGAGGCGGTGCTCTTTATGGCTGGTTACAAGTTGCACATCTGTGTCCAGATGTTTAACAGTGCATGCTAAGGAGCACCTTACTCAGTGAACAGTAGTGTACATGTCTGTCCTGCTATTTAAAATCTGCATGTCCAAACTATATCTCCATTAATCAATAATATTAAAATACAAAGTTGGGATCCCTGTCTTTGTGAATGAGATGGTGCAATACCTGAATTCTTGGAGTTTTCATTAAAATAAGAGGTGTAGTTGTGATTCACATTAAGAGTTGTTCCATGTAACAATTATTTTAAAACAGAACTAGGCTACTAACCCTGATCCTAGATAACTTTAGGTCTATTTGGGAGCAAGGACACAGATTTTCCAACTGTAAAAAAAACCTGCTCTGGTCACAATACAAGCAGTTTAACTTAAAGATAAGAAACAGCTTGTTTATGTGGATTTGAGCTAAACTGAAATATGAACGGGACTTCTTCTGAGCTTCTATTTGTGTTTAAGTTACTGAGAAGCAGCCAAAGCACAGACCACTTGGCCCATGCATGTCTAATCCTGGATCAGGATTTGAGACAGGTGCTGAATCACACAAGGCCCGCCTTTTGTCCCCTTTTGCTATTTATGTACATGTGCATTGTGCTGTAGGCGCACACGCTCATAATGCACATGCAGGAATGCACTTAAACAGAAGTAGGCCAGAAGCCACCTACACACGACTTAAATCATACATATGATGACTTGCACATTTACTGTATCGCCACACTGTACACGGTAGGATGAACACTAACAGGAAGTCCACCCTTTATGATAGCAAGTCATCAGGTTGCTGGTAAAGGGTTTCAGACTGTGTCATTTCCCTGAGCCTCTCCCACAGAGAGCGTGCTGAATACTTTGACCAGGGTGCATGTGACATGCAATAAATTATATATAATTAAAGACTTCTGAAGTACTTTAAAACGGGAATACTTAAAAACAAGTCTGCTGATCACGTACCGGTTGCCATAATTTCACTTTTCCTCCTGATGTTGCACGCTAAACATAAAAACCATAAAACCAGTCACTGTCAATAGTAAAATTCATGTATTCACATTTTATAAATGTGTATTTATAAACGCAGACACAAATGCTAAATACCAAAAGTATAAGAACATAATGCAGGACGGCCCGTTTCTGAGTAATATGCTTCATTGCTAGTTGGAACCTTTGATGAATTGCTTTAAACTATGTTTTAAATGTTGTTGCTGGAAAATGTGGCTTTCATTGTAACAAATTTATATTTTTTTCTGATAGAAGTAATCAGTTATAATGTATAACAGTTTTCTTTCATTAATCTCTTCTTCTTATTATTTTGAATTTGGAAAATTGGCTATTAAATAAACCATTTCTCCACTTTATTAGAGAAGTACGAGTTCAAATAGACCCAGTAGAGTCAAAGTTCATTCCACTGGTGCACTTTGACGTTTTCCTCAAATAAGTAGTGCTGCAGATTTTCTCTCCTCCACCCTCTGTGCACACGAGTGATATCTAATTTCATATCAACATCTTTGACAAAATCAGAAACGGGTCATTTTAACTCCTCGCTAATTTTAGAGGTTGAAGTGGTGAAATCTGTTAAATACTATTAAGACTAATATAAAATCAATGTGAATCTTTACAGTATTGCTTCAAGCATGACCTTGGACTTGAGTAAAAACCTCTCTGACAGCTTCACAAAGAAAATTCCTGTGGTTCTCTTCTATTGGATGAATTTATTACACAGTAAATATGACCTTAACGTTTACCCTGCGGACTTTTTCCTGTGTAATTCATAAACCAGTTCTGAGTTTTACCATTGTTTTCTTTTCCTCCTTGCAGACATTAAAGCGCAAAGAGAAGGAGTATGAGCACGACATGGAGCGTCTGGCCAGAGAAAAGATCGCTACCCAACAGCGACTAGCAGAGCTGAAGAATGATCTTAGCCAGTGGATGGATGTGATCGAGATCGACCGCATCCTCCGACAGACAGTGCAGCCGGAGGAGGACCAAGCTTCAACCTCCACAGCCTCGGGTAGGCAGACGGGAGGGATTGGTGGGGATTTATGTTCACTCTCAACTGCATGTCTGTAAATCTCCCTAATACACAACCAAACACTGTTTCAGATTAAGTCATGTAATTATATATGTAATTAATGAATTCCATAATTTGTTGGTGTTGCAGAAGGTGAAGACATCATGGATGACGATCTGGACGAAGAGCCTGCACCAAGAGCACCCACTGCCTTACCCACCGTGCCTCAAATCATGAAACCTGAGCTGCGCACAACTGCAACACCTACTCAAGTCCTAACTGTGATGCCCACCACCACTACCTCCTTCACCACCCCACACAACCAGCGCAAAGCCCCTCAGCACCAGCCTCAGTCGCTACCAGTGACCCCTCCACAGCCACTGTCTAAACCTGCAGCTCCACCAACGCTCACTGCCACTACATCCAGCACACCTTGTCAGCTGTCAAATCCCACCCAGACACAGATGGTGACCACACCCAGTCTGCACCCCACAGTTATTGCTCATGCACCAGTGTCCCACCCTTCGGTCATCCAAGTGATCCCAAGTCAGAGCTCCAAAAACATCGCCCAGCTGGGTCCCTCCACCACCACCAGCTCTGTGCAGTTAGCCCCCGGCCACCAGCCCATCAGCCACATAACCGTGCACCCAGTGGCTCACCTGAGCCAGCATTTACCCACTCTCTACTCTCAGCCGGTGGCTGTCACACAGCCGGCCGTGGTCGGTCACATCACTCAAACAATAAACCATGCTCATGTGAACGGCAGTGCGCCTGCACAGCCAGCTGCCACCATTGTTGGTAAGCAGACAGCAGTGAGCACCCAAATGATGGCTCACCACCCGCAGCTAGTGGGTCAGACGGTGCTCAACCCTGTGACCATGGTAACCATGCCCTCCTTTCCCATCAGCACTCTGAAGCTGGCCTGAACACTGCCAACAGGACCACTGAGCTCCAGACTGTGATCCCCATGACAGGGGTAACGTGATGGAGGGATGTTATTCCCCCATGTTAACAAAGTGACCAAAAACAAGTCCCTGTTCTTAACCTTCCACCTTCTTGTGTGTTGGTTAGTGTTGTGGGAGCACTCAATGGGCCACCTCCCTGCTGTGAACCACGGGCTTCATACCAGGCCATTGACAAGCCAACCGTGTGTGCAGGAGAGCTGCTGGAGACCCTTCTGCTCTGTTTAATTCTCACTTAAAAGCATTAAAGTGGACACAAAGCTGGGAACAATCCTAAAACTCCTTCTAGACCAGACTACCACATCTTCTAAGATATAAAAGGCTGCATGTGACTGACGGTCATAATGTCGTGTTTGTGTTGTACACAGTGGGCTGATGTGCAGTTTTTGACCTTCACCTGCCTTCCTTTGTTGTTTTAAAGTGAGGCAGTGCGTGTTTTCACAGAAGCTAGAAAGAAACGGCCTCACATGGGAAAATGTCGATCTGCTATTATAGAGTCCAGACAGTGTAGGAGCAGAGTGCTGGCCCGCCAAACCCAGCGCAGGGAGAATGTGGTTCACAGGAGCCCCTCCTCCTCAGCAGCAGCACATGCTGTAAGGTTGGAGCCAAATCATGGACTGCACTTAGCCGCCTGAGCAGGAGCTGCAGTCCTCGGTGATGGTGCACACAGCAACAGCTCCCCCTGGTGGCTGTTTGTGTTCATAGTCAAACTACCACCTCTGCAACAATGACACAATTCTTCCAGTGAAGAAAAATGATATCACCACATCAGAGTGGCTGAAAAAATATATATATACAGCTTTGTCAGTTCTAGGCCTAGCCAGGGTGTCTCAGGAGCTTGTCTCTGCCTTTAGCGAGTAATGTTCTGTTGACAGATTGCAGCCAAGATGACAATCAGCACCTTGAATTTTAAGGCTCAAGTGCTCAATCAGAAAAGGGCGGATTTCTCATTTCTGCCTCAAGTGAATGAGTTTAAGTATCTCAGGGTCTTGTTCACAAGTGACAGACTTCTGGTCCAGGCACCGCACCAATCAGTGGTCTGCTGTGGCAAAGAGACAGCTGAGCGCTAAGGCAAAGCTATTCATTTACTGGTTGATCCACTGTCCTACCCACAAACTGTGGTTAGCAACTGAAAGAAATATGAGATCACTGATACAGGTGGCATAAATGGGCTTCTTTCTAGGCTGTCTTGCTTAGCCTAGACAAGATGAGGAACTCATCATTCAAGAGGAGCTGAGTCAGATGAGGTGGTTTGGGCATCTGAGTAGGATGCCTCTAAGGTGAACGGTTTCAGGCATGCACAACCAAGAAGACACCCGATGGCAAATCCAGGACATGATATCTCTCAGCTTGCATGGGAAAGCCTTGTTGTCTCCCACACTAGAGGAGTGAGGTCTGGATAGCTCTGCTTAAAGTGCTACCTGTGTCCAGATAAGCAGAAGATTGGGTGGATGGCTGGATTTAGTTTTTAGTGTTTAAAGGACAATCAAATTGTTACTTATTTCTAGTATCTGTCCTTCAAACATACTGGTGATTGTACACTGAGCACAAATACAAGTTAGTGTTTTAGGATAAAACAGTTTGTGTCACAGCTGCTAATGTATTTTAAATATTTTTCATTTTGCAGAGTAGGATTTGTATCTACATCTATATGACCCCCAACCCCAGCAGAGGCGAGTTTATATGCGCTGTGAGACTTAAATACCATGAGGTAAAGGATGTGAATCTGAATACAGAAAGGTCCATAAAATATAGTGAAGTGTGTCTATGCTGTCTTGTAGTGCATATGGTAGTAGGGTGTGTGTTTGCATGCCATTAATGCATGCCATGACTGTACTAATGTAGTGATCACTATGAAAGCAAGGACCTATAGCAGTGCTCTCCGATGAGCTTATGAACTTCATTACGTTACTATAGGCGTGTGAAGGATTTCTGACACATTTAAGAATCTGTCATCCATAAAACTGGGGACAAGTATCTGTACAAAGCAACAACAACAGATGACTTTAATGTGTTTATTCGAGGCACTCTCTTTCCAAAGCTGGCACTGTGAACATTTAAAAAGTAGTCTCAATGAACAGCCAACCTGCAGTTTAACGCACTGTGCTCTCTGAATTTAATCTGAATGTACTGATCTGTGAAAACATTTGGAGTGTCGAAACAGGAGTCGAGCCCTTTTTAGAAATGCAGTTACTTTATTAAAGTCTATGTAAAGTGTAACATTACAAACCTGATTTTGTATTTTAAGATTTACTGTCGCTTGTGTCATCACCCCTCGTTTGTTAATTTTATCAAATAGCTTATTTTCTGGGACCATGTACAGTGCTGTATGTGAAGGGGCGATCACTACATTCAATCACATTTGGCCACTTGTTTAAATTATTCACCCCTTCCATGTTTTTGTATTTTTGCTCTGATGCAATACGTTGTTTCCTTGCCATCTCTTAGATTTCACACAAACATCTGGGATAAATGGCATTTTGAAATAGTTTTGCAGAAAAACAAAATGCATAAACGTTACCAGATACAGATGCTTGAAGAAGCAAAAATATACCTGTGTTTTCCCTATGGAGAAAGTTTACATTGTATATAGCCTGTAAATGTTGGGCTTCATTTAGATCTATCTGTATTAAGGTAAAAGCTTGGGAAAATATGTAAAAGTTGAAATTTATAAAAAAGATACTTAATAAATTGTATTATGTTTACAAAGGTCTGAAGTGGCTTCTTTAAACAAAGTGTAGAGAAACAAAGATGGTTTTCTATTCAGAGCGCAGTCAAACATTAAACACTGCCTTATCCTCATCCAGTGATGGATACACTGAGGTCATCAGGACTTGTTGACATGCCAGACTGGATGAGCTAAGAACTGAGCCGCTGACTTTCCAGTTGGAGCGACTTTGCCTGCTGAGCCACATTGACTCAGAGAAATAAAGTGGAAAGTTATACTGATATTTGAACGCAGAATTTTTTTCTAATTATTATTAGTTATTTAGCATTAACACTTCTTTAAGTGTTGTTTTGTTCATGCAGTGGTTTGAAACACCAAAGACGATCAGATTAGAGAAATTGCTCTGGTACTTTTACTCCAGAAATATCAGGTTAGGCTAATACTGAAAACAGTAGATAAACTGCAGATATAACGTGGACAAAGAGATCAAGTTACCTCTGTATAATGTGATGCCACTTAGTAGCACACGCTAGCTACATTTTTAACACCTTTTCAAAACCTCTAAAATAAAAGCTGAACATAAGCATTCAAGAGGAGCGGAGTCAGATGAGGTGGTTTCGGCATCTGAGTAGTCCTTTTATACAAGCCTCCTGTAGGAGTTTCATCATTCCAGGATAACTAGATAACAAAGGCTAGTCTAGTCAGGATGTTATGTCACAATTCCCGCAAAAGCCAGGTTAGTTGTAATTAAAAACCTGTTTAATATTTAGTCATCATAGCAACTAGACATACAAGTTATACCTATGATTAAAGTTATCTGTATATCTGTTTAGTCAGCTTAAAAGTCAAATAATTTTAATGTTTCAAAACTATTTTCTGATACCTTCAAATTAACGTTTCTACAAGTGGAGGTTGACACAAAAACCTTAACAATGAAAGAGCTTGCCAAAGACAGACAATGCAATTACTAAAAATTACACTTGCTTGACACTTCACACAGTTGTTGGTGTCAGACAGGCTGCTCTGAGTATTTCAGAAAAAGCTGATGTACTGGGATCTTCCCCACACACCCATGTCTACAGTTTACAGAAAGAAAATATCTTCTGTGTGTGTTGTTAATGCTAGAGGTTAGAAAAGAAAGGCCACACTGCAACAGTAACTGCATACCTTGGTTGTAACAACTAGGGTATGCAGAAGAGCAACTCCAAATACCATGGAAGCAGATGGCTTACAACAGCAGAAGGCCACTCTTGCCAGCTATATGATAATTTGCACACTCGCCAAAATTAGACGATAAAAGATTGGAAAAATGTCACCTGACCCGAGTCTTGATCTCCACTGCAACAGCCAGACGGAAGTGTCATAAATGGCATAAAATCTTCCTGCCTTGTATTGGTGCCTTATGCTGGTGTAATGGTCAGAGTAATTTTCTTGGTCCACTCTGGGCCCCACAGTACGTTTAAAGCATACCTGAATATTGTTGCTGGCTATGTCGATCCTTGTATGACCACAGTAGAACAATCTTCTAATGGCTGCTTCCAGAAGGATAACACACCACGTCACAAAGTTAAAATCATCTCAAAACATGAACGTGACACCAAGTTCACGGTTCTCAGACGACCTCCACAGTTACCAGATCTCAATCCGGTAGAGTGCCTTTTTTGATTTGTCAGCTTCACACAAATTTGCAGCAACTGTGTGACGCCATCATATCAACGTGGACCAAAATTGCAGAGGAACACTTCTAACACCTTCTTGGATCCATGAAGCAATAAGACAGCTCTGAAGACAAAAGTAGGTCCACGGTACTAGAAAGGTGTACCTAATGAAGTGGCCAGTGATTCCATCTTTCACACTAGCAACAAATTTAATTGAGATATCATTAAATTCAATTAAACAAGTTATTTAAAAAAACTGAAAACAATTTACCGAGGTAAAGTGACTGGTAATACAGGGTGGGCCATTTATATGGATACACCG